CCCCAAAACCCCAAAACCCCTAATTACCAAAATTGTGATTGTATCAGAAAAGATAATCTTAATTTTTATTTCTATATTATATATTATATCGATTTTAGGATATTTGTAAATAATATTTATAAATATGTTAAGGCATTTAGTATCCTTAAGTACAATCGCCACTATAAGTTTGGCCTCAATGTACTCTCAAGATCAACTCTTCTTGGGTCAAGTTCAATAGAGCGGCAATCCATTTGATGAGAGCACCCATGAGCTCTTTGTCAACCCTTGGTTCTCACAAGAAGTTCTTGCTTCAAAGACTCTTACTGATGACCAAAAGCAGAAGTTAAAGGATATATCTGCTGCTTTCTGGGTTGATACAGAATATGCCATCTCTACTAGAGTACCAAGTTTGAAGACACTTCTAGACAAGGCTGCTGAAAAGGCTAAGACTACTTCTAAGAAGTAAACTGTGGTCTTTATTCACTACAATCTCCCCAACAGAGACTGCGCTGCCTCCGCCTCTAATGGAGAGATTTGCTGTTCTGGCAATGCCCCAGATCCAAATTCGGGAAGCTGTGATGATCAATCATATACTGGAGGTGAATGCTCCAAAGGTCTTGCTAAGTATCACTCCTACACTGATAAGGTTGTCAGTCTACTTGAAAACTATCCAGATCTTGAGATCGTAGCTCTTGTTGAGCCAGACTCACTCCCAAATCTCGCCACAAATCTTGGCTAAAAGCCCCACTGCACTCAGACAACCGCTGATGCCTACGTGCAAGGTGTCACATATGCTATTTCTCAACTTGCTAAATTGCCTCATGTCTCTATGTACTTGGATGTAGCACATGGAGGTTGGCTCGGATGGTGCGGTACTCACCCATGCTCATAAGACACTGAGTGCGGTTCAGGCAACATGTGTCTCAGAGGAACCTGCGAGTGCCCTCCAGAGCAACAAAGTCAAAATGCTCAAAAGTTTGTTTCTACCATTAAGGGCATATTTAATAATGTCGGTCAAGATGCTTAATCAAGAGTGAGAGGCTTTGCTACCAACACTGCCAACTACTAACCACTTGGTTACCCTGATGACAATGACCACTGTCAACTTAAATCTCAATGGAATTTCGCTTGGAACGAACTTAGATATATGGATTAAATGGATGCCTTGATGAAGAAAAACGGAATCTCAAAGCACTGGATTACTGATACTGGAAGAAATGGAGTCCCAGAATCAAGATCAGATGCTAACCAATGCGCTTAATGGTGCAATGTCAAGAGTGGCCTTGGTTTAAGACCAACTTCAAACGTTAGCGCTCTTCAACAATAATTGAGATCAGCTTAAATTGACGCTGTCATCTGGTCAAAGACTCCAGGTGAATCTGATGGATGCTCCCCAGGATCATCTCAAAAATGCACTAGAGTTGATTACATGTGCCAAAGAGATTGCAACTCCCAATTCCAGAAATGCCCTGCTCCAGAAGCTGGATAATGGGACGATGATATGATCAGATACCTTGTAGATCATGCCAGACCATCTCTATGAGTCTAAAATCTTTTTCTGGATTTCTCAGAGACTGGCTTGTATTAAAGCCCTTGATATTAAATCTTAAACCTTATTTCAAAACATCATAAATCTATCCCTAGACTAATAAGTAATAACACTATTTGGGGTTTTGGGGTTTTGGGGTTTTGGGG